AGGTTTTACCACGAAAAGGCAGGCACGTCAAGCAGCCCAATCTCTGACCCTGCATGATGATGCGCCAACCAGCACGAGCGACTCCCTCACACCCATCTGTCTGAGACCCGGACCGTCGAGTGCCATTCATTTGCGGGTAGTTTTAATCCTCTGAGGGAGTGTGCGCAGAACAAGTTGTAGCATTGTATGTAGCATTGTAGCATTGTAGCATTTTGCAGCATTTTGGCAGGAACTTGGAGCGCCTGGAGCACCTGGAGCACTTCATGTTTCTCCTTTAAAACCCCGGGTCGTCCCCTGCTCCTTCTTGCCCTTGTGCTCAACCCTGTTCATCTCTACTCATCCATCTCATCGTTCCTCCCCTGTGCTGTTCTGCTCCACGCACCTTGTTCCAAAAACTTCACCGCCCAGACGCAGTTGATTCACGTCGCGCCTCCTTCGCGCGCATTGCAATTTAAGCCTTCCTCCTCTCCCTCTCTACCACTCGCTGCTGCCTTCCTCCAACACAAGCCAGCGCTTCGCCAAACCACACAACAAACCCAAAAAAACCGCAGAGATAATCTCGGTTTCGGTATCACTGAAGCCTTTGATCAGAGTCCCAGAGTCCCAGACTCCCAGACTCCCAGACTCTCAATCCCCCTCCGCAGCAGCGCGCATCACATCCCGCAGTCCCACAACACTCCAGTCCCACCCCTCCAACTCGTGTCCGGTGCCAATCTGGCCCCCAGAAACTGTCGCGACAGATAAGAGACCATCTCGACCGGCCGGCCGTTTCAGCAGGCCGCCTTGCGCAATAAGAATAACGCGCTACCTCTCCCTCGCTCGCTCAGACAGGGAACCCCGCCGCCTGCTCTCCCTCTCGCCTCTGCCTTCCCCACGCTTGTTTCGTCGGCAGTCCCCTTCTGGCGCACGCCGTGCCATCGATAAAACACCACCGCGCAATTGTTTTGCGCCTGTGGAGAACAACTAGGTTGCGCGTGGAGCTTTGAGCACCGCGTTATCCTTTCGTCTCACATCAACA